CTTTCTGTTCGGATCTTTCTTCTGTTTTGGTTTTTTTTCCCTTTGTCCCAACTTCTTAGTCTTTATTAATTGTTTTAACAAAGCTGACTGACTGACTGGTCTTCTTGTTTCCTCCGTTTCGTCGGCGACACCAGCTGACATTTTGCGAGCATGATTCCGAGCCAACCTCCCATCGTTGGTGTGGAGTTTGCCACAGTTTGCAGCCTGTCATAGTCTCATAGTGGAATAAATGGCAAGCTAATGGTCTACAGGACAGAATCAATCGGCCTGCCACTTCGGGGAATGTCTGCACAGCAGTCGCTCTCTCGTTTACAAAATATTGTTACATTCTACTCCCGTGGGTTTGTCTGAGCCCTGTCTACAGATAAAAAGGGTTAATTCTAATTCATATCCATTTTATTTCTTTCTTCCCTTGTTTTTCATTTATTTATTTTATAGACTTCTGGTATTGGGGCTGGAGTCTGGAGTTTAGTGGATGTTTTTTCTCGTCTGACTTCATTATTCTTTACAATCTATTCTCTTATTTATTCATGCGTTTATAGATCTAGATCTAGATTCTGTTTTTTTAGCCAGGCCTATAATTTTAATTATTTATTCGTATTCACTAAATTGATTTTTTTTCTTTACTAGACAATTATGTGAGCGGAAGCGATAACCGATACGTGTGTTTCTTTTTTTTTTTTACTTAAAAAAAATCTACTAAACTACATCTTTTTATCTGTGTTATAATTCTTTCTGGGGCGGGATATTCTACACTGCTTAAAGCCCACACTAATAGAATCTAGCTCAAGTTTGAGACAAAAACAGGGCTTACACGTTGTACTTTCCCGTGGAAAAGTGTCTGCAAGAATACCCATTTCTTTAAAGCTAAACTCTTCGTTTACAACTGGGGTAAGAAGACCAAAAAAACCCACCTAACCTTCTGTGGCTTTTCGTGGAGTCGCGAAAGATGCAGGCGGTGTAGTCTTGTTGCATGTATGTAATTCATCGCCCTCCACGTGTGTGCATTAAAAAGATCAGATAACGTTCTTTCAGGGATGCCGAAAGGGCAGGCTTAATTCTCTCCGCCTCTATTCATGTTTCTCCAGCGAGCTACAAAATCTGGCTCTCCTTTTAACCAAGTCAGATCATTTTCTCTGAGCGCGCTCGAGCATTACCCGCTCCTACATTGGTACAACCTTCAGCCCACGGCAGTTTCACGGGCTAAAAGCCCTACACCAGGGGCCCGGGGTGAAGATGTTACTTTAGATCAGGTCTTATCTAAGACACGCGCAGTAACGTTTTCAGCTTCCCGACATGATTAGCGGATGATATACTACAGCCTAATATAGATCTAGCAGTGGATTTGTCATTAGAATTTTTACTTTAGCGGGAATTTTTCCTTTTAAAATGTTTTTTTTTCTTTTGGGGTGTGTTTTAAAAAAAAGCACAAGATCAATTATTATTTTGGTGTGTGTTTTTGGCTAAAACTCAACCCAAACAAGTACATTAGGTTAGGCCTAATTACATGTACTTTAATTAGCCTAAGTAGAAGATCAACCTTCCTTAACGCAGTGTGTGTGCTACCTACTCCAACTCCCAACTGAGAGGGGGACACGGACTGTATTATAATACTAATAATAGTACGTATTAGCCTTAGGCCTTAGCCTAGGCTTTCTTAGCATTACGTCCGAACTCTTGACCCAGAGACAAGATCAAGCAGCCAAAAGAAAAAGACAACACGATTCAAAATGAGAAAACAGAAAAGGAAGAGAAAATGAGTAAACAGTTTCACAATAGACAAACTCCACAATAGACAAACTTTGACAAAACATGTAAGGAGCACATGAAAACTTACCTTTGCTGACAACAACGCAGGAGAGAAGAAAGATGAGGGTGCGTAAACCGGTGAAAGTATTCCCAAGTTTCCCCATCCTGCTCATCTCATCCAGTAGCCTCATCAGAAAGCGAGAAATAATCCGAGTGTAGAAACGACACGATGCATAGCAACAACACACACCATCAGAAGGTATTTTCCATACCCCAAAACGGGCAAATTTCTTCAGAATTCAAATTTTGTAAACTCAATACTCAATAGTCTCGATGTATAGACTTCGTCGGCGAAGATCAAAGCCTCCAGCACGGTCTGAATACTGAATGATCTGTGAATGGAAAGCAATGAAATGAACGAGTTTAGGAAACAAGATCGTAAGGTTGAAAAAATATTCACCAAAAAAGTCTTTGGTCTTGCTTAGAGTTCAGGTAATTAAAAAACAAACAAACAAGGCAGCTATGGAACTATGAAGTTTGATAGGAATTCTGTTTCATTCACATGTAAAATAGCCTTTTACATTGATGTTCCAATCAATGAACCTTTTATCCACACAAAATTCTAATAATGCATTGGCTAGGCTATCACATCACTTTCACGATGGTCAAAACTTCACATGTTGTCAGGGAAAGTAAACAATATAATCCGAGACAGGTCTGGGAAAACAAAAAACAAAGATCACGACTTGCACTGATAGTCCTAGAGAATCTAATTTCAATAAGATAATCCACGAACGATTTACACACTTGAATTTACACAGCAGTGCAGTACTCTCGGGTGCGACAAAGCACGGTTTTTCCAGAAGAAAAGGCTGTTGTCGGCTGTGGACTCGGGGAAACAATGATTGAGAAACGTCGCCGTTAATCCTTTTGTGGCTGATGAAAACACACACACATCCCCACACAGTAGTCCGCAGGGTAGTGTAACAGCTAGGCTCCTGCCTCACTCACACAGCTTGCTCGGGTACAAACTAGCGTCCAACGTTGTGAAGAAGTTTACCGACTGCGTCGTCTGGTGAAAGAAGAACAGAGAGCACAAAAAGTTAGACAATTTCCTATTCAAACGAAAAAGAAATTGACGGACTGTTAGCGAAGTTCTATTTTTTACAAAGCTACTGTACCATGCGGCCAACGAATTCAAGCATCAACAACAAAACCCCCCTCGCCGTGCCTCGCTCTCTCAACGCAATGCTTTGCTTGCACTGTGTTCCGTCTCCTCGCGCGGCGCAGACGTGTTTTGTGTTTTGATCGCGATCATCCCGTGGCTGCCCCTCGCGTCGCCCCTCGCTCGCCGCCCGCCTCGCGCGCTGGCACTTCTGCCGACCCAGGCGCCATTTTGTTACTTACGACGCTTACTCAGCGTTGAACGACGATTGGAGCGAGAGAAATTAACCCCACCTCCATCCGCCGCTGCTTTCTTTCCATTGGTCAAAGGTTACCCATGATGGCCAGTTGACTGGGAATTTTTGTTGCACTGAACGGCAGTGAATGGGGCACTGGGTATTCAGCTCAGTCAGAGATACGTTTTTGCTTTAATGCTACGTTTTTTAAAGAAAGAGCACGATACAGAACTAGAACCATAATCATGAAAAGTTCGGGAAAAATTGCAAATAACTAATGGCCAAATAAATTATTTTTTCTTTTCAGGCTATGGCCATGATTGAACATCAGTTCCTTGAAGACAATGTACTAATACACACATGATGTCTTTTCTCAACAAAAAATAAAATCTAAGATCAGTTTTTTGTTCCTTAATCCACCCACTGAAAATAAAAACTAAGCCTAACCCTACAAATGAACAGATAAACGCACGATATATAAAGACACTCGTAAGAACATAAACTGAATTGATATGATGCACCATTTAGTTGTTATGATTTCAGAAACTTAGTGTAGATCTAAATGATGTTGACTTTTGTTTGTTGTTGTTGTCTTTTGTTGACTTCCACATTTATGTTTTTGTTAAATTTGTTTCGTTTGTTTTTGTGTTGGTTGTTTGGGTTTTTTTTCGGGGGGAGGGGGGCATTTTGTATCTTTTATGTTCTCAAATAAATGCAAACACACCAGGAATAATCAATGTTAAACAATAAAAACAACAGCGGCATCAAAAAATTTATTTTAAAAATTAAAAACAATCCTATCATACAACTAAATTATGTTTAGTTTCTTGGTGTAGCAGTTTACAGGCACACCAGTCGTCGTGGTGGTTCAAGGCAGTCAAGGCAGGTACATTGTACAAGACACATAGGACTTTTTATTTCTTGATGTTATGTTGTACAAGAGCAGTCACAATTGTGTAGGCGGGAGA